AGTTTTCCTGCAAAAACCCATCCCCTCTCACATGTGGGTTCTAGTCTTGAAAGGTACGACATCCTATGCAGGTTGTTAGCATCACAGACTTTTGAGAAATGATGATACGTTCACCATTTCTGGTTTGGCATCATAGTCAAACGAAGCAGCCTCACTTAACTGACTCCCCAATGAATGGTCTCCAGATTCATTAGTCTTTCTAAGTCAATACTCCCTCAACTGCACCAGACGCGCAGGATAGAATATCTCCAAAGAAAAACCTCGTCTGGACGTGAATTTCGCACGAACTATTGCATGGCCAAACTCCACACAAGCTCCCGCTACTCTCCACACTAATCCTGTGTGTATACTCAAGCCTGGGTATTGGGCTTATCTCTCAATGGAACAACCCACCCCACAATACACCAGTAACATAATATGATAATAAAATGCAAATGCAATAATATACAACGGATAATGTACATAAAGCAAAATAACTGCACAAAAGTAAACACCCAAAGATGCAAACAGACAAGTGCTATGATTGACTCGCATAGGGAACCATCGCATGTCCCCAGAAGAGTCGCCAGCTGTCGCAACTGCGAAAAACACCCGGCATAAAAACAGAAGAGTCGCCACCGTTCGTTATTTATCCCAAAGAGAGGGAAAGGAAACGACCGAATAAAACCTATGAAAAAGGGAAAAGACAGGTCATCGCAACCAAATCTTGGGTTTGGGAGTTGGTTACGCAAGGGGAAGGTATTAGAACCCCTCACGTCCGTTGTACTCAATGGGATCCACGCTTGTTGTCTATCTAAGGGTGTGTTTATCTATCTAATCTACAAGCCCACGGGGTTAAGAGAAAAGAAAAGAGACTCGATAGAGCATCTCCGCTCTATGCCTACATATTCCCTCGTGCAATGGGAAAGTCAGAGTCAATGTAGTTCGGAAAACTACTGGTGGAGGGGGGAAGGTTGCTCGCCAAGACACCGCCTTCTTGTGCCTACATATCCTCGTCTGGTACGAGAAATCAGAGCAAACGTAGTTCGGGCTGACACGGCCACAGATTGGTTAAAGTGTTTTACCCGAGTAGGGTTAAACCTTAATTCTAGCAGTTAGGTGTATTGTTGCTCGATCATTAGAGACTTAGGCGTTACCTATTTGCGGTAGAACCAAAGCTTAACAACACTTTTTACGAAAATGATTTTCCATTGATCCCGAAGGAATAAAAAGGTTTGATGTTTTGTTTGTGTTTTTTAAATAAGAAGTGAATTAACTCGGTTTGTAATTCACGTTGCACTAAAGACTATGACTTGAGAACGAATGCGTCGCATATTGCCCCCAAATGGGACGTACACTAAACACTCTAGACAAGCGAGATGAGACCCCTCACTCACCATTTCCCATGTGCTTAAGGCTCGTAGCGTATAACATTCATTATCCTTTATTAAGTGAGTTAAAATGTGTTTTGAGATGAGAAGAGAGACGCACAAAAGGTTTAAGGGAAACTCAGTCCTAATGTTGTCATACAAAGTGGACCTAAAGTTTGGATTACAAAGGGAAAAATCTACCCTAATGTTAGCATGCTTGGATTGAACACCTAATGTCTCTCCTACTCCCATCCTAAATGGAGGGACTAGGAACCCTATGGGATCATGGCAAAAGACCAAGAAAGCACAAGATAATTCAATCACAAAATGAAAAGAAAGATGGAATGCAAACATGAGATGCAAACACAAAGAAAAGAGGGAGGAAAAAGTGTGGGACAGCAGCCACGACAAGCACATCTCAACCTCTTGAAATGCAAGCAAATAAATGCAAACAAACAAATGATCATCACTTTGAACCACATCTACAAAGTAAGCATTCACGTGGAAAACGAACTACACGTGTCGAAGAAATCATGATTAAATAATCAAGAACAGCGACATATATCCAAAACATCTCACTCTTAATGCATCATACTGATTGTAATACCCTAATTTTTACCCCTAAGATCCCACATTTCATTTGCATATCATTCCACAAACAAGACCATACTTTTTGATTTTTCTTAGGTCCCTTGTTGTTTCATACTTGCTTTATGTTTGTTTCTGTTTACTAACCTCTAACCAAAATACCAAAAAATATTTTGCAATATTTTGCTTGTTTCTTTTTCTTTGTGTGTTTAGGTTTTTGTATGGAGATTAATGTCAAGGATATTCATTTAAGCCTAAATCAGATGGAAGTTTGACCTCATCTTGGTCAAACTATCAAGGGATTACTTCATTTGCAAGTAAATATATCAGTGGTCTATTTCCTCAAGAGATGATTGTTCAAGGTCAAGTGGTCTTATGGAGAATCATCAGTTTGTCAAGCAGTGTTTTATGAGAAGTTTTATCCCGGTTTTAATCGAAGATTCAGAGTTTTGTCTGTACAAGTCAAGTTTGGTGGATGTTCAATCAAGATGTTTGTTTTGGGAAATACGGAAAAGCATTAATAGAAACATGTGTTGTAGTCGCGAACGTTGGTATTCTAATAGTTTACATGATTATTATTGGTGATGTGATTTCTGGAACTGCTTCAAGTGAAATTCACCATTCTGGTATCCTTGAAGGATAGTTTGGTGTCCATTGGTGGACTGGGCGTAAATTTGCTCTTGTTTTCACAACACTTGCTGTATTTGCACCTTTGGTCAGCCTTAAGCGAATTGATTCTCATCTGCATTGTCAATTGGATTAGCAGTTGTTTTCCTTATTATTGCTATGGGGATCTCAGTTTTCAAGATTATAAGTGGAGGCATTGGGATGCCAAGATTCTTCCCAATCATTACTGATGTAGCTTCAGTTTTTGATCTATTCAATGTAACCCCTGTGGTGATGTCAGCCTACATCTGTCACTACAATGTTCATAACACTATGCTCTTCAGTTTGTTGTTGTTGGAAGCACAGGAGAAGGGAAGACATCACTCATATCTGCAATGCTTGGAGAGCTTCCTCCAATTGCGGATTCAACTGTTGTCATGAGAGGAACAATTGCTTATGTACCTCAAGTTTCATGGATTTTTAATGCAACTGTACGGGATAACATTTTGTTTGGTTCTGCTTTTGACCCAATAAGATATGAAAGGGCAATAAATGTGACTGAACTGCAACACGACCTAGAGTTACTATCTGGCGGCGATCTTACTGAAATTGGTGAAAGAGGAGTAAACATCAGCGGTGGTCAGAAGCAAAGAGTATCCATGGCTAGAGATGTCTACTCCAATTCTGACGTGCTCGTCTTTGATGACCCCCTAAGTGCTCTGGATGCACATGTGGCTAGACAGGTTTTTGATAAATGTATCAAGGGAGAATTGAGAGGGAAGACTCGAGTTCTTGTTACAAATCAGCTGCATTTCCTTTCACAGGTAGATAGAATCGTTTTGGTCCATGAAGGTATGGTGAAGGAGGAAAGTCTATCCTTCTTAAAAAGGAAGAACAGGAAACAGGTGTTGTCAGTTTGAGTGTTCTAATTAGGTACAAAAATGCATTAGGAGGCGCTTGGGTTGTTCTAGTACTGTTTGGATGCTATTTCTCAACTGAAGCATTACGAGTGTCAAGTAGCACATGGTTAAGCCACTGGACTGATCAGAGTACTGTAGAGGGTTATAACCCTGGTTTCTACAATCTCATATATGCAGCTTTATCATTTTGTCAGGTTTTGGTGACTCTAACAAATTCTTACTGGTTAATCATATCAAGTCTTTATGCTGCGAGAAGGTTACACGAAGCCATGCTTCACTCCATCTTACGGGCTCCCATGGTTTTTTTTTCCATACAAATCCACTCGGAAGGGTCATCAACAGATTTGCAAAAGATCTAGGTGACATTGATCGTAATGTGGCTCCATTTGTGAGCATGTTTTTAGGTCAAATATCCCAACTTCTTTCAACCTTCATCCTGATAGGGATTGTAAGCACAATGTCCCTGTGGGCAATAATGCCATTGTTAGTATTATTCTATGGAGCATATCTATACTACCAGAGCACTGTTCGTGAGTTTCTAGACTTTAAGCAAAGGAATAAGATTCGCTCGTTTGTGGATATATTGATTGAGAGACATTTGGCAACAAAACCGGGTACAAAATCATGATATTCTTTCGGTTGTATGGGCTGTACGTTTTTGTGCTTCTCCACAAGGGTTGTTCGAGTCTGGTTCTTACAATTCTCGGCTTGGGTAGTTGTGCTTAAGTTCTCATATGAGCATTTCAAACTTCCAATATAAATGATCCAAAAGCTGCTACAGAAGTAACAGATACAAGTTGATCGATCCAAATCAAGCGGGCTCTGGAAAATTGTTGTCTTGGCAACCATGAACAGAATAAAGGTGACAGATAAAAGTTGATTGATTCAAATCAAGTGGGATCTGGAAATTTGTTGTCCTGGAAAGTGACAACTGGAAACAGAATGCTTGTATTATCTGCAAACTCAGTGCATACATCTGTTAGATATTTCGGGTGGCCTGCATTGGTAGATTTGACGACGACAATGTGTTTGGAGTTTCTGTTGAAGGTATGATTACAGAGAATCATTTTTCTGTGGAGACATTGTTTTATTGTTGGACATGTTAGAAGGATAACATTGTTCAAATGCTGGATTTCCTTTCAAATTTCAAAACTCTAGAGCTTCATCAGCAGCAAAGCAGTTATGTCAAGCTGCATCTGATCATGTTAATGAGAGAGTATCTGTTCTCAGTTCCTTAAGATGTTCATTGGCGATATTCTTGGCTCAGATTTACGTTGAAGTTGATAAAGTTGGAGAAGAGTTGTTAACAGATCCAGAGAATAAACTTCCATCATTGTTGGGTACAATTAATGATTTGTTATCAATTCCATTTACCATAATTTAGACAAGCTGAAATCTTACATATGTTTCCTTGTTGTCAAACATAGAAAAACCGATTTTATCCATCCGAGATGAGCTTTTTGAGACATTCAGGGAGAGGCATCAAGGTCTTATGGACCTTGAAGAGGTGTGGTTGACTTCCGACTCGCTACACAGAATGTTGTTGGCTTTCAGTGAGCAGACAAAGGGTCAGAAATTTCCAGTGAATGCCTCAGATCAGAAAATGCTCGAGATAGTCATGGACAGGTATGAGAAGGAGCTCATGCATCCTATTCAAAACCTTGTCAGTGGAGAGTTGGCTCGGGCTATGCTTATTCAGGTTCAGAAGCTGAAACTGGATATTGAGACTGCAATGCTGGAGCTAAACCAAATTCTACGTGCAAATGAAATCAACTTTGCTGTTTTGGCTGCTTTACCTGCCTTCTTTGTCTCCCTTTTACTCATTATGTTAATCCGGGGATGGTTCAAACGGGATACAAAAGCTGAAGGAAGAGGTAGAATTGCTCGGATTCAAAGGAGGCTACTTGTTGCAAAAGCTGAGGGAATGCTAGTTGATCGGTCATATCTTGCAGGCATAGAAAAGGTTACCAAAGTAGAGCAAGAAATAGCCGAAGATAGATTCCGGAAATGGGCGTGTAGGTATTGTCCTGATGCTAGGCATATGAATATCGGAAGCGAAATACAGCTGCGCCAATTGCTTTTTGGTGGTACTGTGAACAGAAAAAACTCCAGTCTATCACTTCCAACTGAACGAATATTCAAAATTCCCAATGTTGATGGAGTGATTGAAGAAGGCAAGAAGGCTCCCAAAAAATTCCGCGATATGAAGGTGAAAAGCCTAACTTGAAGACAGAGATGTACACAGCAAGTGGTTGGCCGTCAATTAGTGGTGACGCTTTAAAGGTCCTGGCTGGAAACATTTCTTCTGATTTTGACTTTACTGATGAGGTTTATAACTTGGATTTTGATGATGAACATGAAAATCCTTCTCAAAATAATATTGAGGTTCCAAAAGGTGATAATTCTGCATATGGAACAACCTTTGCTGCTTTTCCAACAGAGAAAGAAGGGAGAGAAGCTTGCCATGCCATTGCTTCTTTATGTGAAGTCAGTTCGATCAAATCTTTGATTTCAAACTTCATTCTACCCCTGCAGGGACATAATATATCAGGAAAGGATAACCGTGTTCATTGCTCCTTAAATATCAACACAGAGACAGGGCACTGAAATCAGCTGATAACGTTCGACAGTAGCTAGTGCGTATCATGGCTCGGTTTAAACCTGAAATTATGCAGCACTGACTTCAATAGTCGTGATTATTACGTCAACATTAGAAAGGCAATGATAACAGGATATTCAAGAAAAAAGCATGTTTGGACCTACTGCTCATGGTATAAATAGAGTCAATGTGGAAAACATGCAAGCAACAAATGAATTACGTGCAAAGAATTGTATCAATGATTTTAATGGAAAACAAGAACTACCAACTCTTCAGAGTTTATTTGTCGATGTAGGAATTCCGCATCTTGGTTTTAGTGATTGCACATCAATTGTAGCGTGGAAACTTCAATACTATCAATGGGCAATGTGGTTATTTGAATGTTATAATATCAGTGAAGGTGCTTTCCAGTTTGTTCTTGCTGCACAATAGCAACACCATGCCAAGCTCACGTAAACTGCTATGTCACACAACAAGCTTCATGTTACAAGCTGCAAAAATTATTCATCATGCACATGTTGGTCACGTGAAAACATTACGGTCAAAAGCAAAAATGAATTGCTTACCAAAATGCAAAGTTGCAGCAAAACAATGCACGTGTGAATTAAATTGAAAATTGCAGCCAAAAAGAAAAAACGACTTCATGAGCTACAAAGAGAAATTCCAAAACGACATGAAAAAATGCACATGAGTCACGCCGTTCACACCCAAACGCAACAATTTTTTCACAAACGACAAATCATTTTCACTCACTCTCATCTATAAATACAACTCACATTCACTCATTTTCATTCAAGCTTTTCAAGCCAAAAAATCCCTGCTAATTTTCTTCTTCAATTCCTCACTACGAAACATTTTCGTTCATTTTTCTTCTCCTATTTCCTTCCACCAAATTCACTCCGATAGAGACAAATTCATCCATAATCAAAGAAGAAGAAAGAAGAAGAAAGAAGAGGAGAGTTTCGGTTTCATCATTTACCTGAATTAGAAGGTAGATTGAGCTTCACCGTCAGTTTCGATCCGTTACTTTTTGTTGTGTTTCTTTGAATTGTTGGTACTGTTGTGAAGAGCTCTTGATTTCGATTGCAACCGCGTATTTTTCGTGTCCCGCCGCTCCGATTTGAGAGAGCTTTGAAGTGATATCCATGGTCGTTGTCGTGTGTTTTGGAGAAGATGATGAAGTTTTATAACTTCAGATTCATTTTACTTTACTTTTTATTTTTATTTTTATTTTTTGAACTTTTTTTAAACCAATCATGGGTCGTGAGGCCTTTTTATTATTATCAGCATTTTGTTTTACTTTAAAACCTCACTTTCTTTCTTTTTTTCCAATTTTCTTTTAATATTTTTTCTAACATTTGTTTTTCTTTTGAAATAATTTTTTTAAAATAGATTTTGTTTTGGATCTTGAATTTTGATAAGATCTCATCAATATCAATGGACTTTGGGTGTCGATTTTATCCACCAAGAGAAGTGGTTGATATTGATGATGATTTAATCAATTTAAAATTCAAATTGTGGTTTTCTCTTCATTATTCTTCTTTTTATTTTTGATCGATGAAATCTATGGATCATAGATTGTTGATTATCAAGGTTGTTTAATCTTCATTATTTCAAATCTATGGATGAATAATCATTGAGATAATTCTCCATACTTTGGAATAGTGATAGATTACCTTTGATTAATTGATTAAAAATCTTGATTATGATGAGATCACTACCTCTTTTCTTTTCGTGTGGCATGTTTTAGGAGAGTGATTTACATATCACTTCTCTAACATGTATTAACACTAACATTTTATTGACTGGCCTCAGATAGTCGTGGTTTCTACATAAACCCGATTACGATTGCTTAACATAGCGCTAAAGTGTCCCTTAATCAGAAAATGATCATTCGTGGCTCAAACTTACGTTTAAAAGTCCAAGTATGTTTAGTTTCTTGTCTTAAGTCCAATACCTATGAAAATCATTGTTAGGAGACTTTGATTCTATCAATCCTCTAATGAGTTTTCATTAACCTTGGTCTAAGTGCAAGAATTAATCATCATTGATCATATGTTCTAACCACTAACCACTAATTCACTAACAATATCCTTGTTTAATTTTGTTTATATTCTCTTCTTACTCTTTATTTCTTTACTTTTATGCTTCCATTTTATCATTTCATATCATATCTTTTTTTATGTTTATGTCATTTCTCTTTTGTCCACTTGGACCATATCTTGTTCAAAACACTAATAAAGGATAAAAAATCTCTAAAAAACTTGGTGTTGTTAACTTTGTGGTTATGCTCTTGGACTATTCTTAGATCTTGGACTTCATGGACCTTTGGACTTAGAATTAGGACTTTCATTCCTATGCTTGGAGTATTGAGGATCTTAGCCTTTATTTGGCTCGCTCATTAGCTTATGCTTTAAATCGGATGGAATTCTTTTTGCTTGCTATGGAGTGTGCTACAAGTCAGTTAGATCTTTCTTACCTCTAGCTCTTATTTTTGTTTCTAGGATAGTCACTTCATCTCCTCCCCTTCTTAAATTTTCAAAACTTTCTCCCTCTTTCAAAACCTTCTTGGTTTCAAACTTCAAAACCGCTTTCGCAATAAAACCTTGACTTTTGTCAAGTGATTTTTAAACTTTGTTTTTTTTTCTTAATAAAAGTCAATCAATGTTAATCATGCTTTGACCAATTTCAAAAGACATAAAAAATACAAAAACTCATCAACTCTTTTTGTGCCTTTATGCACTTTTTTTTTCACTTTAAAACTTTTCATAAAGTTTAGACATGATTCATTTCTATAGTTGAGATGTAAATCTCCTATTCCCCATATTATTAAGACTTTGACATTTTCCACGTTGATGTTGAGTGATAGTCTTGTTGATAATCCAAGCAAATCCTCCATCTTTATGTGACGCAGATGTTGTCTTAATACTCGTGGGTGGATAGTCGCAGTTTTCTCCTTGAAATGACGACTTGTCTTTACATCTAAAATCAATCAAAACCAACAAATTTTTGTCATTTGTACCACGAACTACGGGGTTTTGATCCCATATTGCACTTTGTGGGTACGTAGGCATGAGGCGATAAGTCTCTCCAAACACAAAAATCTAAAAAATAATTCTCTTCTCATCTCCCCAATCTCTTTTCAAACAAACCATTTTCAAACCAAAAAACGTAAATATTTCAAAGGGCTCCTATAGAGTACTATAGACGTTTTGGGTGCTAACACCTTCCCATTGCGTAACCAACCCCCTTACCCTGATCTCTGTCTCGTGTTCTTATTTTAGAACTCTTTGGTTTTGTTCGCTCTTTTTCCTTTCCTTTATTTGGATAAAATAAAAGTGCGGTGGCGACTCTTGTTTTTTGAGTTAAGTTAATTAATAACTTACGCTCACGATTTTTACTGCTACACTGATACATGAGGATTCAAAGTGAAATGATACCAAAACAACCTTGAAAAACAACAAAACAAGTCTGCTGGTACAGTGTTAATCGGTTAACACCAGGGGTTAACCGATTAACCATTGAAAAATGTTTGAAAATTTGAAAATTCGCACTGGTTAATTGATTAACCAGTTTGCACTGTAACTGGTTAATCGATTAACACTGTACCAGAAGCAGAAAACAGCAGCTCAAAAGCACTTTTCAGCAATTAATCACTTAAGCAATCATCCACATACTCTTGTAATCAATTATGCACGAAATTAAACTAGAAAACAATGATCCAATCAACATGTAAACACATTTAAACAACAAGATCACAGATCACATGAATCAAATCAACCAAAAGTCAATCAAAAATGAAAATCCACATCGAATATGCAAAATAAGCTCAAAATAGCAACGGATCTAGAATTCCAACCTACAAAGCGGAGAATTGCTTTGGTAATTGTTGATTCAACTTCAATTGAGCAGATCCAAGCTAGAAATCCGAAAATTCTTCAAGATCCAAGTGATTTTTTGTAGTAGAAATGAAGATCCACCAAAATTAAGCTAGAATAAACCAAATAAGCTCCTCTAGATCAACTTCAAAATTCAGATCCACACTAGCACGAAAATTGGATGGAGAAATTGATTCAATAAGGATGAAGGTTTTAGCTCTAGAATTCAATGATTCCAATGGAGAATCAAAGAATTCAAGGTGAGAAGAGCTTTAATGGAGTTTGGGAGTGAGAAGTTGAAAGTAAAATTCAAGAGTGAGAGTGAATTCTGAAATGAAATGGAAATTATGAGGATTGATTCTTGAGGTTTGGAGCAAATCATTTAAATATGCTCTAGGTTAGGATCCAAATGTGGTTTGGAGTGTGGTTATGAAAATTGGAATAGGACTAGGAATAGGAATTTGAATTGATTTGAAAATTAACCAAAATGCAAAATAGTTCTAGATCCTTCTTCTGGTGTAAAATCAATTTCTCATGTGATCAAAATGGACCCCAAAGTGGCTTCACTTGAAAAACTCACGTGCAGAGGCAAAATTTGCCTTGGTTAATCGGTTAACCATTTGGGTTAATCAATTAACACCTTTAAAAATTTAAATTTCGCCTGATTTTGCTTTGGTTAATCGGTTAACCACATAGGTTAATCGATTAACACCTTGAAAATTTGAATTTTGGCGCCTTTTGGAGGGAAAT